CCTATGCTACCAGTACCTTTTAAGAGGATTGTTAAAACTTTAAAGTATTCTGTGTCTTTTAAAAGTATTCTTGAGAAGTTTGGGGTTTTTTTAATACCCTTTTTAATAAGTTTTAGGTGAGGTTTTCCACCGTTCATAGAGTTGAATATGAAGACATTGATTGCAAGTGTTCTAGTGTAACAGCCGTCTTCTCATATTGTCCTCCCTGTTGTTATTGTTAGGTGCTGTCGAGTCATAGACGACTCATAGCGACCCTATGAATGAAAGGCCTGAGCACTGTTCTTACATAGTTTGTGGAGGCAAGCCATTTCTGAAGTGGATGCCGCTCCTGCTTCCAGGCTTGTTTTAGTTGGGAAGGTCCAGCAAACACTGTCCACCATGGCTAAACATGACCACGTTTGGCACCTCAGTGTCCCAGTGTTCAGCATCACAGCAACCACAAGTTACCTCTACACCAATACACAGACCAATGATATACCGCCTACAAGAATGTTTGACAGGATATATGATTTTGTTTTTTCTCCTTCATGCGTTATTAAAGACATTCCTTTTCTTCTTGTTCAAGCTTATCTTAGTGGAATTATTTTACTAAAAAAATGAGCTGTATAGGCTGTTGCATGGTGATAAGACATGCTATTGTTGTGGTTACCACCTGAAGCATTTGGGTTCTGTCTCTTTCTGGAAGTCACTATGAGGACAGGTAGTTCAGTCCATTCGTATTTTGTGATTCTAGAGATGGCTTTTAGGGTTGGACCTTAATTATTATTTTCTTTATGTTTAATCTTAATTTTAAATATACTCTTCTTAAAAGTTTTCAAGCCGGAAGAATTACGACAGGCCCTGATGCCAACCTTGGAGGCACTTTACCGGCAGGACCCAGAATCCCTTCCTTTTCGTCAGCCTGTGGACCCTCAGCTCCTAGGAATCCCTGTGAGTATGTGGTTGGGCTTCTAGGGTTTGTTTCTTTTTAGTGACAGTTTTATTGAGGTATAATTCAAATACTGTGCAATTAAATGTATACAGTTCAGTCATGTTAATGTATTCATCAGGAAAGTCCATTTTAGAAAGTTACTACCCACAGAAGAAACTCTCCTTTCAGCAGTCACTCATTTCCTCCCACACATGGCCACCGCCCCAGGCACCCTTGAACTGATGTCTCTGGACCTGCCTCTGGGTATTTCATAAAAATGGAATCCTACAATATATGACCTTTTGAATGTCACTTTGACTTTATTTTCCCCTAAAGTTGTAGCATAAATCCATACTTTTCTTTTTATGGCCATGTAAAAGTCTGTTAGGATGCATCCTAGTAGTGGAATTGTTAACTCCTTGAATTTCTCATTTATTTTTATCATTTGAGTAGATCATGACAGAAAAGATACCCCTAGGTTACCTTGTGTCTTTATACACTACTTAGTTTGGTTACATTTGAGCGTTTAAAGTGGTAATGGATAAGATAGCCAAAACTTTGCAGAGAGGAGTACTTCTGAAAGTGAAACCATTTAAGAACCTTTCCTGTACTTTACTGGGACCTTAGGTGGATCCCTACACTCTTTATCATGTGAGCTCCACTTAGTTTGAAAATTTTTCAAAGTCTTTGACATCTATGTTTTTAATATCTTATAGATGATAGTATCGTATTTGAAATACTGTTGTCTATCATCAACCCACTTTCTGGAAATTATAGTAGCTGTACAGCATCAGTCTCTGTGTCCAGTAAAAGCAAAAATTATGCACCTCACTCACCTGTTTGGGAATCAAACACTCTGTAGTCGTCAGTGTATTAGAGAGTGGTAACAGTAGGAAGATCCTGTACCAGGACCTGACTCCTGGGTAATGTTGTTTGGTGTCACTTGTCCATCTAGGATTACTTTGATATTGTGAAGAGCCCCATGGATCTGTCTACCATCAAGAGAAAGTTAGACACTGGACAGTACCAAGAGCCATGGCAGTATGTGGATGACATTTGGCTTATGTTTAATAACGCTTGGTTATATAATCGGAAGACATCGCGGGTGTATAAATACTGCTCCAAGCTTTCTGAGGTCTTTGAACAAGAAATTGACCCAGTCATGCAAAGCCTTGGATATTGTTGTGGC